AAGGCAGCCTTGAAAACTAAGCTGAAAACACTAAAAGGAAAGTGGGTAGAACAACTCCCTGAGGTGCTATGGACTTATAGAACCACAGCCGGACCCGCCACCTAGAAAACTCCATTTGCCTTAGCTTTCAGAACTGAAGTTGTGGCTTCCGTAGAGATTGGGTTGCCATCTCCCAGAACTGAATACGGCGAAGCAAAGCGTAACGATGAAGCGCTCTTGCTCAACCTCAATCTTTTGGATGAGAAGAGAGACAAAACTTTGCAGCACATAAAGCATTACTAGAGGAGGAAAGCTAGATACTATGACAGGAAGGTGGGGCACATAAGTTTCAAGGTTGGAGATCTAGTGCTTAGAAAGCTACTGCTCACGAGGAAAGACCCTTCCCATGAAAAACTGGGCCCAAACTAGGAAGGTCCTTATATTATATCAAAGGTCATCAAACCCAAAAACTATGAGCTGCAAACCAAGGAAGAAAAATTTCTGCCTCATTCATGGAATGAAGAGCACCTTAAGAGGGTTTTTCAGTGAGTTTTTCTGTAATAAAATTATTTCCTCAATCAGACCGTGAGTTTTTGACCCAACATTGTGTGTATTTGCAAAAAGGCTTCAAGCTTAAAGACGAGCTCTTCAACTCGTAAAACAAAGATGAGCTCTTCAGCTCATAATACAAATAATGAGCTCTTCAGCTCATAAAATAAAGATGTGCTCTTCAACTCATAAAATAAAGACGAGTTTTTTAGCTCGTAAAACAAATATAAGCTCTTCAGCTTATAAAACAAAGAATGAGCTCTTCAACTCATAAAACAAAGACGAGCTCCTCAGCTCGTGAAACAAAGATGAGCTTTTTAGCTCCTAAAACAAAGAATGAACTCTTTAGCTCATAAAATAAAGATGATCTCTTCAGCTCATAAAACAAAGATGAACTCTTCAGCTCATAAAACAAAGACTGAGCTTTTCAGCTTATAAAGCAAAGACGAGCTCTTCAGCTCGTAAAACAAAGATGAGCTTTTTAGCTCATAAAATAAATAATGAGCTTTTTAACTCATAAAATAAAGATGATCTCTTCAGCTCATAAATAAAAAATGAGTTTTTTGGCTCATAAGAATACAGAGGAGATCTATATAGCTCACGAGAAGTAAACTCCTCAGAAAGCAAGGAATGATCTAAAATAGTTCATTACTAGAAAGCAACAACAAAAGACAAGTGCTTGGCAATCGACAAGGTAGGCTTTTCAAAAAAAAAAAGAGAGAAAAGCCTGTGCAACCTTGAACGAGCCAAAGAGGTCGGATTCTTTCCTTGGGTATGATGAGGCTCAATAAGTTAAATAGTTGGGTCACATCCCAGAGGAGACTTCTCAGATTTCTTTGGGTTGACAAAAAAGGGTGTAAACATGAAGACTTCCCAAGGGAGCTTGGTTTCTAAGACACAGTAAGGCTTCATAAGCATAAGCAGCTACTAGAGCCATATTACCAGCAATGCTAGCAGATGCATTAGAAATAACTATACCCTAGTCTCTATACCCAACAACAGGGAAAACCAATTTAAGAATAAAACTAGATTTCGCGTGGTTAATGCGTCCTACGGACCTTAAAAAAGTTCTGGGAGGTTTACACCAAGGGCTTCCAAGCTCCGGGGAAGTAGGAGCTCTAGACTTCATTGCCTCAAGGGGATCTAAACGACCCCTAGAAGCAAGGGGGGAAGGAGGAGCATAAGTAGTGATATGTAACTTAGCAAAAATGAAGCAATAAGATAAGCCCTAAGGGAACAGGGGTTTCTTGGTAGTAGTTCGTACAAGGTCAGCATCTAGGAATGCTCATAGAGATAGATTTTCTGTTTTGAGGTTAGGATTAGCAGAAGGAAAAAATAGCTCCAANGATTTTTTGGTAGTAGTTCGTACAAGGTCAGCATCTAGGAATGCTCATAGAGATAGATTTTCTGTTTTGAGGTTAGGATTAGCAGAAGGAAAAAATAGCTCCAACATTTCCCTAATACTCTTCATCCATCTCAAGCTTTCTCAGCACTCGGTAAGCCAGGAAGAACACGGCGTGATAAGCTGTAGCGAAATTTGAGAAATAAGGCAGAACTCAACCCCTGACTTTGGAGGTTAGATGCCTTTAGGCTAAGGTTAGCTCGTGTGGACCTTCTGGTATATCTCCTCAAAGAAGCCTTGTATGAATCTCGGGTTAGACTTCCAGAATCCCTTAAGAAAGTTTTCAGATTTCTTTGAACTGAGGTCAACTCGTATGGTTGAATGGACCTTCTAGTACATCTCCCCAATGAAGCCCTTTGGATTTCTTTGAATCGAGGTTTACTTGTATCCCTACATGAATGCTCTGATCTTTAAGTTCTAAAGAGTGCACAATGTGAGTCGGTATTACAAATATAGGTCAGATAGAATGAAAAAATGATGTGCACCATTTCAAAACGAGGATTATACTTCAGAGCATCAAAAGTGAAGTTACAATCCAAAAATACAAGTTATTCCAAACAAACATTACAACTCAAGATCCTAAGTTTCAAAAGAAGGAGTAAATAAAGGGTTCTACAATTCCATGGATGAAGCTTCAGCAGTAGGAGCAGAGCCCAACAACTCAGAGGATAGGGCCCCAGGTGGTAGAAGAGCAGAATTCTCAAGGGTGCTGGTTGCAGGAACCTCTATTCTTTGTTATCCCACGACATTGGCTTCTTGCTGGTTCTACAACTGTAGTAGATTTCCCTGAGTTTTGCTCATGTTGTATGTAGAGACCATCAATTACTAATAGATCAGTAGAATTTTAGCAAGAATCGAAATAATCATTCCCACTAATGGTGTCAAACTGATAGTGTAATTTACGTGGTTGTATAGTAGAGCTCGGGCCTAAAAAAGGGGGAAATAGATAGGAGATTCGTAAGGGACATTAATGGAGTTTACTGGAATACCCAGTCAGAGCTACTAGTCACTCGATGGTTAAACAATCAACACGAGGATAATAATAGAGAATGGAAATCAATAGACCGGGGGTTTATAGTTGTTCACCAGTTTGGAAGATTGGCTAGTCTACTTTAATGGAGTCTTTTGCTCATGAGGGAGTTTTCTATTTCTTGGGGAAGATGATTACAATGCTTTTGAGAGTAAATTTACAGGTATTTGATACCTTACAGTTTCAGGGATTGATCCCTATTTATAGTGTGTGGGATCATGGTCCTTACGTAATCAACGTGAACCATTCGGGGTTGTTATGATCCATGTGATGGAATATTTGGCTATTGGAGGCTACAATCCCTAGTCGTGACATGGCCTTCTAGAAGGTGCAACCTATAGCTGTTATAGTGTGCACAGGGGGCACATTGGTGCTGACTCTTGACCTGTGATTTCTGAGTTAGGCGTCATGGGTTGGGAGGTCTGAGTTGGGGTCACGAGTGGGGCAGATAGGGGTTGGGAGCTCGGCTTGTTCGCCTGACCTTAGTTGCCTCGACTTGAAACCCAAATTTTGACATTATCATGCATGCCCCTATTGGGAGCATGTCTTTGAGATGCTTCTCATCCGAGCTTAACCTTGGGTAATTTTTGGTATCATCATAACTCTTGTTTCAATTTGCCCTAACTCATAAAACCTATCAATGTGTGCAACCAAGAAATAACTTAATGGACACAATAATTTAGTCATTAAGATCCTTCATTTTTTTTTTTGGAGTTTTAAACTCGTATTTTTTAAATGGTGCAAAATTAAAGAGTTTCTAACTATTTATTAATTTTTGGAGTTTTAAACTCCTAAATGATCTCTATTAAAAGAGTCTTGCTCTCTTAATAAGTTTTGGTATTTTTAACTCAAACAAGGTCAATAACATCAGTGGAATTTAATTCCATTTTCATTCATGAGTTAAGTGAATTCGAAAATTCAATTTGGTTAAAATTTTAAGTTGAATGCCAAAAATGATGGGTCACTTACGAGTAAAATTTCATTCTACATCAAATGGGTCATTCATCCATTTCAAACAAAATAAAATTCAATTCCAAATCAAATGAGTCATTCACTCATTTAACACCCATTCAAACCCAAGAATCCTTTCTTCTTCTTTTTTTTTGGGGTAAGAAGAATCCTTTCTTTATTCAAACTAAATTCGATTTAATTCCACTTATGAATACATAGACAGTCCAACATCTAAACTGGACGTAGTCACGGATCCAAATCAACTTTAAATAAATTTTAAATTCTTTTCATTTGAACTATGTTCGACTTAATTCCATTTGTTGGATACGTAGATAGTTCAACATCTACACTGCTCGCAATCACACTTTCAAATAAATTTCAAAATCCGTTAAATTCCAATATTCTACCTTCAAGATCTATGGTTGACTTGAATCCTTATCGAACATGTAGGCACTAGGCACAGTAACAACTCTCAACAAATCTCAAAATTTTTCCTGCAAACCAAATGAGTCTTACACCTATACAAAATCAAAGAGTCATTCACCCATTTAAAACATGAAGATATTTTATCCATTCAAGATCAATGAGTCATTTACCTGTTGATCTTATCTGAAAAATAATTTAACCTCTCTATATTATGAATCGACTTGATCTCGATAACAAGTAAGTAGAGCAACCGAGGTCCAACCATGACAACAAACAAATAATTTTTCTTTCCATTCTCTTTGGATGTAACGGTGACATGTGATAATTTCTCATTAGAATCAAAGGTTTCCTTGAAGCAAGGGAATGTAATAAGTTATCTGAAATGGGTACAACTTATATTAATAAAATTTATATAATTTTTTGTTGTATGAATAAAGTCATGTTGGGCAAAAATCTAAAATTTTGCCCAACAACAATGGTCCCTTCGTTACCACTGCATCAGTGTGAGGTTGTAAATGCTTCAAGAACACTAAGTCCAAAAGTGCCTATATCTTTGTAAATGTCTTTCGGCCAAGTAAATGGGATGCTTTGCATATAATATCTATACAATAAAACCGGACTATATTTGAATTTTATACCCATACATCTGCCCCCCCCAAAAAAAAAAAAAACACCATCCCAACCAAGCCCAACGGTTCCCTGGCACAACACAGTCTCTTCTCTCTGTCCTCTCAGTCTCTATCCCTCTCTCATCTCGGTCTCTTTTCTCTCAGTCTCCTTTCTCACACAGTCTACCACTCTATCATTGTCAGGCAGCGACAGACATCACTTCCCCAAATTCATGCCGAAGATAGGCGGTCACTTCCCCAAATTCATGCCTTCGTCTTCGAGTTCAAGCGTTCTTCACAGCCACCGAGACTCAAACTTTCTTCACAGCGAGGCAGACATTACCGAGTTCTTCACAGCCACCGAGTTCTACAGCCACAACCACTGCCATTGCCAGGTAATCCCCCCATCCTTCTTCCCCTCTTTCTGTTTCTCTTTTCCCACCATTTCCTCACTCTATTTCTCTATCTCTCTCTAACCCTCTACGAGCCCAGCTCCAAAATGCCCCAATTTTATGGGTGTACATGAAGTGTTTGTCAAAATGCCCCAATCACCACCGAGTTCGTTGCTCCATGATACAGTTAGGCTTTGGTTTATTGTTTATTGTTAACTCATTTTGGTTTATTGTTTATTGTTAACTCATTTTGGCTTATTGTTTATTGTTGCAGTCAAGCTTTGGTTTATTGTGTGTTTGCTCCATGGTTCATTTTATTTTCCCTTGCGTATATTTGTAGAGACAATCCGTTGTATATTTCTTTCTAATTGTCTGGGTTTTGTTTGATCTATGTGGGCATAGAAATGATTGTGGAGTTAAAGAACGACTTTGTCACTCAAGGCAGCTTCCTTATATTTCAACTTACTGTCAAAATGCCAATTTAAAAGGTGCTGAAATCGAGCAGCTGGAATGGTTAAAGTATGAGAGCCTACTTCTTTACTCAATTGTAGAACAATTTGTTCCTGTTTATCCACACATCAAGTTGCCCTTGCTCTACAACCACAAGGGGAATTGATTTACCATATTTTGATGGAAGGAGTAAACTAGGTGGTTAGCGAGAATCTAGATACCTAGGCAGAGATAATATGCTTGGCTTTGAGGTAGTATTTATTATAAGTTACTTTTTGGACGCCCCTCAATTGTTGTTTGTAATTTTTGTTAGTGACTTTATCTATTTGGTTATCAAGAACGTTATGCATGTTTGTCGCTCCTTAATTTCAATTTGTAAGTTTTGTTAGTGACTTTATCTGTTTGGTTATCAAGAAAGTTATGCTTATGCATGCTTGTTCTTTAATTCAAAACAGTTATTATGATCTCTATCAACTATTTCATGCAAGAGCTTCCATTGTTCTATTTCTCAGGACCATAGATCAATTGCAAGGTTTATTGGCTATGCCCTATGTCATTATGCAATTTGGTTACCCACTGCGTAGGTGGAGAAGGAAAAGACAGTAATTGCTCTACTTCTTCAGATGTTAGGAGGAGATGTTATGTCATAGGTCATTTCTATTTAGCTGTTTCTAACTTGAAGGACATCAGGGAGTTTCCATAGGTGCTAGAACCGGAAGCATTAGTCATATATTGGATGCGTCACAAATGATTTGTGAAAATGTTGGTTTCTTTATAAGTTTGTCAGCCTGATGAACGGAAAAAGAAATCTGATGAATCATGCTTCTTCTTTGAGTTGGTCCATTTCTATTGATGGTCTCAACTAGAGCCTTAAAAACAACATCTAAGGCTCCAGACCACGAGCAAGATAAGTGATAACTATCTGCTTTATGATCTCAGCGCGTTCGTCGGCTTAGTCCATTTTTCATCCCGCGAATACTGATCAACATGGTAGCTGGTCATGTGAGCGTGAAGTATGGATTCCAGGTATGTAAAAGTGCATCCACTGCTAATTTATTTTTTCCAGGAACATATGAGTGCTTATGGGATACATTGGTGGACATGCTGCAATATTCCCATGTGGGTGACTGTTCCTTTGGTTATCCCTAGGGCATATGTCATAACTTGAGATCGTATGTTGGAATTTTGTTGGGTGACTTATTGTGATTAATATTTTGTGATTAAAAAATATGTCAGGCGCCTTGAGCAAGTTAATGGTAACTTTTGATAATTCACAAGTTCATGGACCACATCGAGCTCTTTAGATACTTGATTACTCTTCCTTTCTCTAGCTCTATGTGTTCATATTGAGCAGTTTCCTATATATTTGTTGTTGCGGCTTTGTACAATTGCTTCTTGCTTTGATGGTTGTTTGCATAACAATGAATTGGTGCAATCACCAATGCCGCAGGTTTTTTTTACTAATAGGTTTGAGGGCTTGAATTTTCTTGAACTAAGATATGCAATATGTTTGGTATTTAAAATAACTTAATACTGAATTGGATAACTCTTTATTCGACAAATCTCAATGTGGAGTTGTTTTAGGTGCGTCATATTTTTGGCTAAAATTATTTAATTAATTATGAATTTGATTATGCAGGTGTTGATGGGCAAAATGCTATGGGACTGAAACTTAAATTGTCATAGGCACGGGTTTTTTTTTTGCCATCAATCTCCTTGAAAAAATTAAGACATGATTACATGGGGAAGTAAGATTTCTTTTAATTCATCTGATTATTGTAACATTGAAAGAAACTGTTTGAAGCTTTGTCCTATTTGAAAATGCATTATTTCCTTTAGCTTTATAAGCTTTTTTCAATTGTATTTTAAAATAGAATTTTTTTTGTATTTCAGAGTATCTTCAGTCATGGGTCAATCTTTGGTTGGACTTGCGTATATAACATGTGATTGTGACTTTTGTTATTAAGATATATATAAATGCTATTTTTGGTTTGAATTAGGTAGTGACTAAAATATGACGATGTTTTTGAGTTTGATTGAGTAATTTGTTCTTGAGATTGGAGTGCAATGGTTTGTGTTGGACAATGCAATGGTGTGTGCTTGACAGTGATACATACAATGAGATATATTAGTAATGTAGACATGTTGAGATTTCTTCAAATTTTTATCTTCAAAGGAAATTTTGTCAAAATTTTTTAAAAAAATAACAGGGGTTAAATTTATTTCAATTTTTTTAATTAAAACAAAAGAAAGAAAAATTATTTCAAATTAAAAGTTTTTTTTAAGTTATAAAGTATCTTTAGTCACGGATTATACAACATTTAAAAGATGAAACCATGTGATATAGTAATGAAATATTTAAAGGTGTATAATGTTTTGGGAATAACTGCAGGTCAACTCCCCTACCATCCATTGAATATTGTAATTGCATGTTGATTCGCGTGGACAGCTTGCATTGCCATTAATTCGACGTGCATGAAGAAATTCATTAAAAGAAAACTGGAGATACGGAAGAAAAAGGAAAATAATAAGACAAAAATATTTGTGTACTTTATTTCTACTTCCAGGGAGTAAATGTCTAATAAGCTACGTCTAATATATTATTGATTACTGATTGGATAGAAGGATCTCAAATTTATTTACAGATTGAGTAAATACCTTAGATAGATACAAGATAAATCATTGATCTTTATTTAATGTAAGCTCATGTAGATACTGCAAGATATTGATGGGTAGTGGCGGAGGCATAAAGGGCGAATGTTAGGGGCAGAGGCGGAGCCAAAAAAAATTATTTTTGGAAGTGCACTAGACAATTTAATAAGTTATAATTTTTCCTTGTTGTCGATATAAGATAATATATTTATATTTACTTATGTCATATTTAATATTTTAAAATTTATTAAACTAAAAAACTAAAAATCAATAAGCATACGACGTACTAACAACAAAAAAAAAATAATAATTACCTTACCTTCTAAAGAAGGCCATGTAAAATTATTTAAATTGGACAGTGTGATAGATTTTTATTCTTTGGAAACCTTGCACAATAACTAGATTATTTTATATACATGTGTGTGTGTGTGATTATGCTATCACACATCTGTTGATAAACAAATCAAATTTTAACAGAAGTCTTTCTTATTTATTTTGTACCAAAATCACTAATCTTTGCTAAGATTGAAAATTCAATGCCAGATTAAAAAGTTTCATGTGTCCCAATGTCGTAAAATTATCACCGACTGTTTGGACCTCAAATAGATATAAATCACATATCTCGTCGAAAGATCACACAGTAGTTATAGGTTGCACAATTGTTGATTGTTTTTATTTTTTTAATCTCTTTCATTCTCACTCTATATATGTGCCAGTCATTAGATTTTAGACTAACATAATCTTATTGAATAAATATATTTATATCAATTTTTTTAAAAAATTTCTATCTCTAAGTAATTTTGTAATATTTAATTATGACATTAAATTTAATGGATTACTTACAAATGACACTATATTTTATTACAATGAGCTTAAATTCTGTGGAACAATAAAATAGTTTCTTAATTTTTCAAACATTATAAATTGATCGCTATATATCTAAAACTTACCAAAGACATGTTTATAACTTGTCTGAAACTTGTTCCAAATATTCATAATCCTTTGGGTATAGTAATTGATGCATTAAGAAAATCATAGGAAGGGCATAATTAAAATATATAATATGTACTAATATCAATATATAACTACGTATAAGAAATTTTAACAACAAAAAAAAAAAAAAACTAAGAGCGGGCATGTTGCCCCACCGTATCTAGGCTACCTCCGCCCCTAAGTAGGGGTGTGCAAAAATTCAAAAATCCAATACCGCAGTTGGAGGGCAAACTAGAACTCCAATCAGAGTTGGAGAGGAAGTTTGAAATCCATTCGGAAAAAACTCCAACTTCACCTTCTATTTTTATTAATAAATAATTTTATATAAGTTATAAATTACATAATACTATTATATAAAATCCCCTTTCTCTTTCTCTCTCTCTCATACACATAAATGACAACGTTTCATGTACTCAGAAAGCAGTCTCAACTTTCTCGATTAAACCTCGATGGCAAAGACGACGACGTTTGGTGTACTCAAAAGCAAGAAGATAGGTCTCTGACGTCAATAAATAACGACTCCGATCTGAGTTAGTATCTCTCTCTCTCTCTTATCTGCATCCTGCAGAAACCCCTTCTTTTCTTAGATCGGAGAATCGTTTTCTTAGATCTCTTCTTTTTGTTGAGATGGAGGGAGCAATGGATCTGAGATGGAGCAATAGATCTGAGATGGAGCAATAGAGGGTTTGCTTCTAGCTTAAATCCGAAAGTCCGTTCCGCTTCCGACAAGGCGGAGTTGAAGACCATGTCATAGTAGTTTGGAATCAGAGTTTGAGGGTAAAATTCATTCCAACTACAGTCGAAGTCGGAGATCAGAAATGTGCTCTTCGGTTCCATCAGAGTCGGAGCCCAGCCCTGGCCAGGGAAGGCCTGGCCCACATTTAGATTTTTTTTTTTTGCATATATGTTTTGAAATTTTTTTTGGAGTGTCCTCAATTGGTCCACACCCATGACTTAGATATGCAAAAAATTGGGCCAACTCCTTTACTTAGAGAACAAAACTATTGTTTACTTGAGTGAAAGAGACACATGGGACCACTTACTCTACCTGAGACTAATTTATTGGAAATCTGCATAAAAACAAGAGAATCTTTGAAAGTCGGTACACTTAATTAAATATATTTGATAAAAAATATATAGAATAAAATATGAGTTAAAAATACATAAATGTCTATTTTAAGGTAATTTAATTCAAAATCTCTTATTTTTAATGTACATTGATTCATGTGTGTTTGTTAATACATATAAATACGTATTTAATGCACTTTTGATTCATGTGTATATATATACTTATTTATACACACACACACACACATATATATTATTAAATCTCTTATTTAAATTTTGAATTATCTTTAATGCACTTTGATTCATGCGTATTTTTTTTTTGAAAGGTGATTTTGTTTTCAAATTATGTTTAATGCATCTTGATTCAAACGTTTTTTTTTTTGAAAAATATTTTTATTTTTAAATTAATTTAATATTCGAATAATGTAATAGTATAACAATAACAGTGTAACTAACAAATATATTATAACAAAAACAGTGTTTAGTAGTTTTGTGTATATGGTAACAAATTCAAAACGAAGATGAACTATTTTGAATGAAATTATATAAAATTATTTGTTTGACAAAATGTAATAGTACAATATTTTGTGTAAATAGTTTATTACATTATTATTGTTGTACTGTTACATTGTTAGTGTTACACTATTACACTTTATATTGTTATACTGTTATTGTTACACTATTACACTATTCGGATATTAAATTAATTTAAAAATAAAACCACTTTCTAATAAAAAAAAATATATGAATCAAGGCGTATTAAAAGATAATTCAAAATTTAAATAAAAGATTTAACAACAAGTATATACATACATAAATACATAAGTATATATATATATATATATATATATATTATAAAATTCTCCCATAAAAGTCGGAGATGTTTCATGCACCACTTTTCAAGGAAAAGTGGTGCATTAAATACACATGGATTAATAGAGGGTAAAAATATCACAATAAAAATACATAAATTCAAATTATATACTTGGATACAAATAAGTATTAAAATTAAGTACTTAATAATCCTATATTTTTTAGTGTGTACATTTTACTAAATAAGTTTAATTTGGTGTACCCCTTACAATTTACCCTAAAAAAAGAAGTTAAGCCCACTCGTCCCTCACGCTGATCATATGCTAAAAAAGAGACATTAACAATGAAGAGCAAACTAGAAATAAATTGTTGGGCTTTCTAGGAAATTTGGAGGTCGGTCTAACCATATGAACTTGTTTAGACTTAAATTCACCAAAAAAAATTATTTGTTATGAAATTCATTTTTTTATTAATTTTATTAGACTATCTCTATCTTTTAAAAGTGAAGTAAAACTAAAAATTAAAAATTCCTAAATTTTTTTTCTCTCATATCTATTTATATTCATATGTAGATTAGGATATAAATATAGGTTAGGAATATATATATATATATATCTATATATATATATATAGTAACATTAAAAATAAAAAATAATAACATTCAAATACCAAAAAAACAAAGTTATCATTTAAACACAAAAAATAATACAATTTAAACACAAAAAAATAGTAACATTAAAACATAAAAAAATAGTAACCCTCAATATTAATATTTTAAAAAAAATAGCAATAGTAACATATTCAATAAAAATAGTAATATACTTAACAAAAACAGTAACATGCTCAAAAAAAAAAAATAGCAATATGGAACATTGAACAAAATTAAAAATAAAAATAGTAGCGTTCAAACCTATAACCCAAGAAAAAAATCTCCAATTCTTCAGCATCGAAAAAGATATCACTGAAAAAGTAATAATATGCTCATTAAAAAATAATAGCATAAAAAAAATAGAAACATTATAAATTGTAGAAAAATAGTAACATGGTCAATATAAATGTCGTAAATTAAACATTGAAAAACTTCGGGGATTATTTATCAAAAAAAATAAAAATAAAATTGGGGATCAAATTAATAATACATTGAACAAATTTTTCAACATTTTTTTCCCGAAAATCAATGACATAGAAGCTCATAATAATCAGAACACAATAGAAGATATGATAGTTGTTGATGATGTTCCAAAATTTTGATGTTATGAAGGAATAAATGATATATAATGAGAAAGATTTGTTATACTGGAGTGATGATCTTCTTATAAAGAGAGAGAATATAAATTTGAATTTCAATTTAAAAGTGAATTAAGAGATAATAATTTCTAATTTTAAAAAATAATTTAAAACTACTTTCAAGGTTTTTAAGATTTTTATAATTGAACAGAATAATATTGTTAAAGGTATTTTCGGAATTTAAAAAAATAGCTAACTTAAGTACTTATTAGTAAGATAAAAAATTGACTTATAACTAAATAAGTTTTCTTGANCAGAATTTTAAAAAATAGCTGACTTAAGTACTTATTAGTAAGATAAAAAATTGACTTATAACTAAATAAGTTTTATTGACTGACTCAAGTCATTATACGTCCATCTAGGACGACTCAACTCTAATTTTCACTTCTTTTTATACTAATAATGCACACGTATGTTGCACATGAAAAAAAAAATTAAATCACAACATGTAGATTATATTTTTTAGAAATACAAAATGTATGAAGATGACGAAGCAAAATGCATTGATATATGCATTCAATTGCTTCTTGAATCCAATAAAACTTTCTAGTATTACAAAACAAGACCAAGAAAACTCTTAAATATAATATACTAATCTAAAAATATTCCACCACCACATGAATTTAAGAAGTCTGGTAACAAAACTTGATGATGCACAAATCGATTTTGCACAAAATCAACAGTCGAATATATTAAGAGATACAATTAATGAACAGTAAATAGACAATCAATGACAAAACAGTAAATAATGAGTCAACATAAAGATATATAATAGTTCGGTCCGGGTGACATACTTCACTCTCAGAAACGACATCGATGGCCGAAGATCTTTATTGATGAATAATGTCACCGGGAGAATTTACTCTAAGAGAGTTACAATGGTGAGGAGAGAGAAACAATGTGTGTAGAGAGGTATAGTATGTGTAGGAGTCTTGTAGAGGTCTCAAGGTCATAAGGAGATCTTAAGGTGATGCCTTTTATGTATAGATGATTTATATTATATAGGCTTAGTAAGGCGCTGAAGCATGACGTGAGGGAAAGAACTTCTACTATTTTGGTAAGTAGAGTTATGATATGATTAAGCCTTCGTGCGTATCCCGATATTCTCTCATTGTGCTCCTATTCTGTCCGAAAGAGGATTAAGTTGGGTTGGACTTGAGTTGGAATGACAGAGTCAAAAGGGCGAAAGACTCCACAAGGTTGTGCAGGAAAGAGAGCTTGGGACAAAGGAGGGAAAGGATCCCCTTGGGGTGGCCCCCTTGGGCGGCACCCTTTGGGGTATACCCTTGGGATGTCCCTTTGATGGTGTCCACCTTGGACTCCTCCTTGACTTTGTATTCCCTTAACTTGGGCTCCTCCTTGACTTGGACTCCGAGATGACGTGGGCCTCTCTTACTTCGTTAGACCTGACCTAGTTAATTTTGGGCTCATCATTTGCCCCCCATGCCCAAAGCCTCTGACTTTTTGTAAGAGAAAGGAATTGTGGGCATGTGCTTCGTCGTCATCTGAGTGAGCAGGTGTTTTTTCATCCGCTGAATTTATCGGTATCGGATTTTTTTTTCTTTTCTTCTTGGTTTCTTCCTTGGGCGTTGGCCCTCTTTTCCCTTTTTTTTTTCTTTTCTTCTTGCTGGGCGCTGGCCCTTCTTCCTTTTCTTTTCATTTTTTTCTTCTCCTTGGCCTGCTTGGGCGCCACCTCCTTATTTATTTATTTATTTTTTTTTATCTTTTTTTCTTCTCCTTGGTTTGCTTAGGCGCCGCCTTCTTATTCTTTTTTTTTTCTTTTTCTTTTTGTCTTCTCCTTGGCGTGCTTAGGCACCGCCTCCTTATTCTTTTTTTTTTTTCTTTTGGCTTGCTTGAGCGTCGCCTCTTCTTCCTTTTTTTTTTTTTTTTTTT